TAGGTAGATAGGTAGATAGGTAGATAGGTAGATAGATAGATTTTTGCCATTTGTGATATGACACAATTGTAGCCTTCATTTAAATAATGATGACCTGTTTTCAGAACAAGAGCTATTTAACAATAACACCCTTGGAAAAATTTAGTGAAGTGTGCAAGGTGAGTTCACACCAGCAACAAAAAAGCACATCTTGAAGAGCTCCCAAAAATCTGCTCACTTAACAGAGCGTTTTTTAAAATAGTCATTCTCACTCTAATGACTTAAGTGATTAGGGGTAAAAACAGCCTAGATGACACTTAAAAGCTAACTATTGGAGCTCTGCATTACAGACTAGAGTTAGAAACCATGTCTCAGGCTTTCCTTTGCTCTGCTCTTAATTTTCACTTTCAGTTGTGCTCTTTGTCCAGCCACTAATAAAAAAAGAGTGCTTCCTTGCCACAAAAGTTTGTTTATTCTGGACTGTAGAACAGGATTGGGCACTTACTGCAAAAGGGTGAAATGAAAAGGTAGTCAATGGGAAATTGACAATAATTGCATAAGTTCAGGAAAATACATTTAAAAGTTTACATCAGGGAAAGTGCATGGCAAAATGCACATGCATTTCTGCAGAAGGCCAGTTTCAGAGTGTGTGACAGTGCTGCTCTTGTCCATCTTGCAGTTTTACACAGTCTTTGGTGTGGTTCCCTCTCCAGTCTCCTGAGCCAATTCTCAGGGAACAATGAGGAGTAGAAAAAGCAGTCAAGAGTATACATCTGACCATATGCTAATCAGGCCAAAAAGACTTCTGGGTCTCCTCCAAGATCTGAATCCAGTTGGTTGTCCCAGCTGGAGTCAGCTTATTGAACCAATGGGATTTACATCATTATTGATTAAGTGTTAAGCAACTGATTCAGTAGGTCTTTTCTAGTTATGACTCATAATGAACTCAGACCAAATATGCCACAAATCCCTGTTGGTGGTGGTCCTGACAGACTTTCTCTCAGATGGATACATATTAGAGCTTGGAAACATTATTATTTTGAACTGCCATATTCCATCAGTCAGTTAGAACTCCAGAACAAAACATCTAAAATTTCAGAATTCTGTTACATACAATAGCAAAGAAGGCTTTAATATTTGATAAAGGAGATTTACTTAGTGCTAACGTTTTGTCCTCTGAAGGCCCTGTGCCTTTCAATCAGTCTCATGTACAACAAGCCATCCTAAAAAAATTTTGTAATGTCTTTTCTAGAGGAAAGAGAACCATCAAAAATTAACCTGAACTTTCACTGTGCTTAGGAATTGTAAATCAATTCATTATTAATATTAATTGTTGTCTATTGATCTACATAGGTCTACTTGTCTTCATGGCAATCTGTTTATGTAATATAGCGCTTGGACACGATCGCTAAGCAGGAGGCTATATTAATTGCCATGTTCCTGGGGACTAGAATAGTGGCATCTAGGCATGCTTCATTATGGGAGACTGAGGGCCAAACATGATGAGAGATGTAAGATCCTGCATCTGGCCTCCCAATGCCTTTTTCAAAACTCGAAAGTATCCAAATGCAAACACAGCCATGCTGTTGGAGGTAGGCATTTTTTTTCTACCATTTTGCTTGACTCATAAACAACACATGGTGCTGAAAATAGTCTCACCTGAGGGGGAAAAAGATGCAGTACACATGCAATATAAAGTGCATGTCTTCTGCCGCCATCTCATTCTACTGGGAAAATTTTGATTAGGAAAATCCTTAGAATAGTTGTATATCAGTCCTCCATATAAAAATGTCTTCTGTTTTCAGGGATGTCCAGTCCAGTTCAGGTTCAAGAGAATGAACCGTAAGAAGCGAGAGCAGAGGCCTTGACATTGCCCATGTAGACAGATCAGTCAGACAGGTCACCTGGTGAAACGTGTATCTATCCAAGCCATGTGAATTATTTCTCATCTTGCATCCATCCTTGCACGTTAATGTATACAATCCTGTGCCCATCTTTTTTCACTTTTTGGAGCTCCTTAAATGGCCACTTTAAAAAGAGAGGGGAGATTAGACCACAAAGTACCACATCCCTAATTTAATTTGAACTCCACGGTTATTTTTAAATTTTGAAGAGTTGGCATGGGGAGATGTCTCTTCTTCCATGCCACATGGAAGTTTGGCTCTGACATTTTGCAGAACCTAAGCTCTTTTAATTCCTTGAGAGTTTTTTTAAAGAGTCTTGGACACTCAAATAATCCTTCTTGTCTATTCCATTGATCACAGTTCATCTCCAATGAATTGAAAGCATTCACGCTTAATAATGCAGATAGCATCCCTGGGATCTATTTTAGATACAAATATGATGGAGGGAGAATTCCATTTTCTCAACAGGATGGAAGTATGATAGAAACCTGATATTTTCAATCATTCTTTTCCCTGATAGTAACAGACATGACCCAAAGGTGACACCTGGGCAGGATGCTGGGTTTTTGAATGGAATAACTCCTGCTTAATGTGATCTAACTAGGATATCTCTAATCTGATTTTGTTACAACAAAAGTTTAAGATAGATTTGCAAAGAGAAGAGAAAATGCAGGTAACTCCAATCTAATAAGGAAGAGGTGAGACTCTACATATGGCGATATGGAAGCCCGTCTCTCCCCCCCCCCAAAAAAAAACTATTGTGTACTCCATAAGAAGGTGAAGAAAATAAGCATCAATTTCCTTTGAGTATCTTACCCAGTGTGGTGTAGTAGACAGAATTATGGTCTAGGACTTTGGAGACCAGAGTTTAAATTTCCAGTTGTTCATGGAAACTTACGGGGGGGGGGAGTAGAACTGATAAAAATACTCATTAAATATCTCACTTACCTGGAAAGCCCTATTGGGGTCACTCTCAGTTCTGACTTGACAGCACAGAACAACAACAGCATTAGATTAGCGTTAGCAACTATTTGTCCTGAGGCTTCTGGAACGCTTTCAGGATAGGTCTCGCTAGTAAAGCCTCCCATTATTTCTGCAA